GAAATTTAACTTTCGGGTTGTTTACTCTCCCATCAATAAAATTCCAACTTCTATACTCAAGGACCCCATTCCGGATATGAATTCCTGGGGTATTTATAGGATTCCTTGCCAGTGCGGTTTAATTTACATTGGCCAAACTAAGAGAGCCTTAAAATTTCGCGTCAAAAACATGAGGCATATGTTAGAAAAAAGGAAACACAGAAGTCTTCTGTTGCTCAACATTGTTGGTCCGAAAATCACACTTTCAATTTTTCTGCTGCCAAAATTATTCAAAAAACATCTTCCATTGGAGAACTGGATTTTCTAGAGGCATTTCACATTCATAAAAATCTTTCTGTTCTAGTTAACGATCCTAATTCCAATCCAAATTTGCCTTCGGCTTTTAGAGAAATTCTGTTTTAGTTCTGGTTTCGCCAACAGATGGCGCCACTTGCTTATTCTTGTCCAGGCTTTCTTATCTTATCTAAACATTATTTCCTATCTTGTTCATTTGCGGTTTTGCAGCTGAAGATGATGGTTCGGTAAAACCATCGAAACTAGTCCTGTGAAAATTTTGTGAATTAACGCTGATTTTTGTTGTTTGACTTCTGAATCGGTATTTGTTCGGCGTGTTATTGTGTCTTAATTGTCATTATTTGTTCTCAAGTTTTCTCCCACTTGGAAAATTTTCTATGAAACCTTTCCAAGTTTTCATAATTTGTTTATTTTTAGTTTAATTTAGAGTAAGCTATTTAATGATTAATTAAACACGTTAGAACTAATTTAAACAAATATCCTTCTGAAAATTTAATATTTAGCTATAAATATACTTGAATAACAAAGTATGCCCGACAAACTATCTTACAAGAAAATTTTAATTAAGAATTATTTTGCAATTACTTTATAATTCTTATTTACATCAAACTTTAGATTTCAGATAGAAAATAAATATAAATTTGAATTTTTTTCCTTTGAGATATTAATGTCTTTCAGGTATGTTTTGATAAATATTTAGTAAGCGAAATTTAAAATTTATTGAAAGCTTTTTTATAATATTAATTAAAAAAATTTCATTAAAAAAAATTCTGGCCGATCAGCTGTTTTCAAATCATGCATTCGGGCTGCGTGCAATTTGAGTTTCCGACCACTGACTTGAGGTGTTAGGTGAAATTATGTTTTGTATGAAATCGGAATATACAAATGCATACATATCTTTGATTTATAATGAAAATTTACAGAGATGCGAAATTTTGTACAAAAGAAAAAAATTATAAATAATGAGAAAATTGCACTTGAGTTTCTCTGTACTAGTTTTTAATGTATATTAATTATAAAAAAAATAATAAATTAAGATAATATGATACATTTGTTTTTTTTTTATAATTTTGCGTCACATTATATATTATAATATTATATATATTACAATATTATATATTAGCAGTTATATATGCAACCACATTGTCCTTAACGCCGCCTATCGGTTCATCGTTAGCTGTAGAACTCATTGATATTGAAACATTGTTTGTTATTTAATTGAGACTAATTTGGATGCGTAGATAGGACGTGTTCAGCGGTATTAGCCTCTCCTGTAAAATGTTATTAGAAGTATCGATCTTAGTTTTGCGATCAATTTCAGAATTATTTTCCGTCATTTTCATCTTGCTTACTTTAAAACTGTGGAGCTGTTCGAGGTAGTAATGCCAGCAGTTCCTAATTTCTTCTTAGTGAGAGGTTGCACGTCTTTAAATAGGTTTTATTCTGTAAGTGGCGCTTTGTGGCTTAATTACCTCTCCAGAATTCGCACTCTTTCGGAAAATCTCAGTCTATGCACGCTTTTTGACAATTCTAACCGCAACCTGTTCCCTTATGTGTATCTCATCCTCCGAAACCATCTTTTCATTGATTTTCTCGCCAAAGTTGCTAGGAAAAGATGAAGAAGAAAAATATCTGCTTCAAAATCTTCCATTTCCATGTCCAAACTAACCATGTTAGAAAAGCAAAATACAGGTCCAGTGATCGGCGAAGCAGTCCCCGTCACTTGATCTGCGTCTTGTCTTGCTGAAAGACCGGAACCTCTGTGGATGAACAGATGGACTCCTACAAGGCCTCTGACAAAAAGACGGGGTTTAAGCTTGGCGAAAACTATGTAGGCGATTCGACCAAATTTTAATATAAAATAGGGATAAGCTTAAACGAAGATAGCAATTACATAAAATTGCTGTTTAACAAGTCGCGCTGAAGCAGCAAACTGGGCAGACGATAGTCTGACACGGCACAATAGTTGCCGACAAGCCTAACGTTAGCAACTGGCAGTAGAACTCTAGCGATTAGCAACATCACAGCGTCCCTTCCCGTGTCTCTCGACTTCGATACTAGGATACTCAGTATTTCTGCTGCTGTTTAGCTGCGTAAAACGTGGCTCTTGCAAGCTTTTTTAGTAATCCTATTTAGGGATTTAACAAATGATTGAGTGAGATTCTCCTAAGGAGAAAACTCATAATAGAAAAAGGAAGAAGCACTTTTTTTCCCGCAGGTGTGCGCTGCAGTTTGAAAAGGAAAATATGACTTATTAGGAAAGTACTGTTTTTATGTGCAGGAGAATTGCTGGTGGAAGTTTCAGAAGCCATTCGGCGGGGTATGCGGTCTAATATGGTGGACAGCTAACCTGTTTCTGACAAGGCATAAAGAGTTATTGGATGCCATTTCTTCAGGCCGTGATTTATGCGATGTGGTCTCGTATCTAAACTCTCACGATCGCCTGATATGCCTTGTCTCAAAGAGCTTCATCTATGAGATCTTCTTTGAATCCGATTAAAAACTCGTTACCAAAATTTCGGTCGGTGCCCCAGTTGCGTGCAATATGTTTGGTGTGCTTGAGAAAATCCGCCAATCCCTCCGTCGCTGCCGTGTACTGTCGGTTGCTCTGTCGAGGCAATCATAATTGTTCATGGCTAGACTTGTTTTTCATTTTCCTTATCATTTTAATACTTAAGCTTAATCATCTTGACTTCAACATGCGTCCCTGGCGCATCTACATTTTATTTTCGAGTATGCATTCTGTGACAAAAAGATTCGATATCGTCTGTCAGCTGTTAAAATTTATTCCATCTATCTTTTTTATAAATATTATATATATATATATACATCTGTGTGTGTGTATAATATATATATATATATATATATATCATCTGTGTGTGTGTATATATATATATATTCTGTGATTCTGTGCATTTCTTCATTTGTTGAAAGACCACATAAAATTAATTACCCACCAAAATAAATAAATAAATGTTATCTTATTTATGCTTTAGGAGATTGTTATGCACTTAGTTTATTTTAGATGTACATAACAGAAGTTCTAAATTTATTTCGATTTCTGATGCTCCTAATGTGCAACAGACGGTAATCTTACTTTGTAAAATTCTGCTTCAAATTTACAAGATTTTATTACATAATAATTACTTTTTAATTTCATTTCAAATTACATAACTAACACGAAGCAGTACAGCAATTCAAGCAAATTTGTTACCACCAATAAAAGCAAAAATAAAATAAAAATAAAATTCTGAAAGGTGTCAAATTTTAAATTTCATCCAAAGAGGCGTTTTTTTAACGTTTTGTGTGTTACTTATATTTATTACATTATCCATAAAATTCAGTCCGACAGCAATATCCCAAAATAATTTTAAAATGAGCATATCTTTAGAATTTCCTATACACAGTTCCGCGTGCTGGAGATAGAAACGTCCCCCCCTAAGAGTGCTGTCATTGTTCGCTTTTAAATCGTTGAATTCGTTAATGAAAAATTCGTTAAAGTTTTACAAAATAGGAAATAGATAATAAAACAAATTCCAAATCTGGGCTTCCAGATGCCTATATTCAGGTGGATACGTGCGTTATTCAAACTTGGATGGCTCTAGGTACTTTTGTTTTATCACAATGCGAGAAACATACATTTATGCTGGTTCTTCATTATTTAATTTCTTTAAATATAGAGCGATAATATTTGGTGGCAAAAATTTGAAAAGAGAATCGGACATTTATAGTGAACTAACACAAATTGTCAAAACGAAAATAATAGTGCTTCAGGGCAAATTGTCCCTTTGGACTTAACAATAAGTCTTGCCTTTCGAAATAGAAGTTGTACGAGTACTAAAATTTTACTTTTAAGTAAGAGTGATGTAAAACACGTGAAAAGATCAAGAAATAGGGGTAAGTTTCGTAGTATTGAATTCAGGATAATTGAGTAGTCGAGTTATATGGATAGTTTTATGTTTTTCCGGATGTGTAGCGTTATATGCAAACAAATTTCACTTAGTAATTCTCCCATGAAGCCAATTCCTGCTTTAGGGCAGCGTTTCTTTAACTGTGTCGCACGGAACACTGGGGCTCCATGGAGATCCCTCAAGGATTCCGCGAAATTTGGTTGCTTATTTTATTTATTTATTTTTTTTTCATAGCATTCAAGTAACTTAAAAAAGTGTAACGCCTGTACGAATGCTTCTCCTTTCTATTTAAATTTAAATTATGTTTTAAGGTATTTTGTATATTAAACAAGAAAAAGTACAGAAAATCGTAGAGTCTCCCTTGCTTTGGCAAATTACATTAAATCAAGTCTCCTACTTAAGCGGACTTGCCGCTGTGTCTAGATAAGCGGGAGAAACGTATGAAGGATGTAAAAGATTCTTTTATTTAAAACTTAGTAAACTGAACAGAAGGCACACCTGATGCTTACAAATCAGCCAGCATTTACGGCGTGAACTTGAAAGTAGAATTTTAAATTAAAACTAAATCATAGTTTTTATTAGCCAAAAGCTACGCAGAGGTAAACGCGCAAGTTGGCTCTCAGCCTACACCAGCGTGACAGCATTATCTGCCAGAATAAAGCAACGCCGTAGACAGGAATGCTTTTCGAAGAATAACAGCTTTAACGTGGCAACGTATTGCTTCTCTCGTCGAGAGTTATTTCATAAATTTTAACTATGAAATTAATGTTTTCTTTTCTTTTCTTTTTGACTTAGCTTCAAGATGTGGAAATGATTGAAAATGTTGACACCGATCCATTGAAAATTTTATTCCGATCCCACAAGAAAAACCGAGCCGGATTTCCTCTTACTTTCAGAGCTAGGTCTTCGGAACAAAAGGCAACGTGGACGAAAGAGCTAAGCGCCGCCAATCAAGGTAAATCACTGAGCAAAAAATGAAATTAGTGGTTATGTATAATAGAAATCTAAATATCCGAACTACTGAAATTACTACCCATTCAGACGTTTGAAGAATCCAGATAACTTTTCTCCTTTTTCTATAAGAAACATGTGTATTCACTGTTATACGAGTGACGGAATTATATTTTCCAACATGTGTGTGAAACATGTGTATTCACTGTTATACGAGTGACGGAATTATATTTTTTTCTTTATCGTAATTTTATTTAAGAAAAGTTATGCATCGAAAATTTTTTTAAATGTATTACCGTAAAGCAGAATGCAAACTACAGTTTTTTGGTAATGTGAAATTACATTTCTGCTTTTCCTAAAACACAGCCTATTTTTATTTTAACCAAATTAAATAATAAAATTAATTTTTATTTTAATTACACTTGAAACTAAACACGTGATTTTGATTTTATTACTTCATTATACGAATTAAAGGAAGTATTGCAATCGCGAAATATTTCGGATATTATATTTCAAAAGAAGTAACCACTTTTACAGTTCCTGAATCCATTTGTACGATGTTTTTGCATGACGTCTATGAGTACAGGCTGAATAAAGGACTCTATTTTCCAAAATAGAAATGTTTATAAGGCCAATTCGCATCTATTAATTATTGTTAATTGATAGGAAGTTAGCTTGTTCCCCTTGAAAAATCAATTAATTTCCGGTCAATCACAATAATTACTTAGTTTGTTTCGCGCGACAAATTTTTTAATGAATTAAATAAACTAGGTCTAAAAAACTTTAGTCTCAATTCTTTGTTCCAATTTCCCGACGCGTCCGCATATATTGACACATTAAGGTGTAAAAAATGGAAAGGCAATTCCGATCTACAGAAAAAATAAATAAATAAATAGCGGTATGCTATTAATCAAAATATACAAGAACTTATGGGCTGGACCTGCGAGCTTAAAGAATTAAAACTTTGCAAAGTATATTTAAATCAAAAAGGAAAAAATAATAAACAAGACAACAAGCAGTATGCGTCTTGCCAAGACCTAGAAAAATTTTTAGAGAAAAAAATATAAAATCAGACCTGGAACTATGCTGTCTTCTCTGTCGACGAGGAAACTCGAAAAGGGCTTCCACATCCCCTTGCGCTTCCAATGCCCTCCAACTTGTCGTAGAAAGGGGGAAAACAATGTCACTAAGCAATAGCCAATGTCAAGTGACTGTCCGTTGGCGGCAACCTGACTTACAGCAAAAGGGGGATGAAAGATGTGGAAAAAGTTCAAAATGGCGTCTTGTCATAGTAGTTTGAGAAAAAAGGACTGGGTAAAAGTGAAAATGGCTAATTCAGCAAAAAAAATACCTAAAATGGCCTCTAAAGTAAGAGAAATAATAAAAAATAGTAATTTGTTAATTAAAGTCGTAATTCTTCAAGCTAGAGGGCTATCAAGCTGCCAGAAACGAAAAGTCCCGTTTGTTAATAATAGTATAGAATTGGCCTTCAAAGTAATTTCAAAACTATTTAAAAATAGTATTAAGGGGACTCATACACCTTAAAACCAATAAGATGTTCGAATAGGGGACTGTTGCAAGAATTGGGATAACTTATTTATTTTAAAAGCAATTACTACAAAATTTTTACAGCTGACTACATAATATAGCTGCTTTCTGAAATAGTAATCAGAAAGTTTGTGTTGCCACAAATATTTTTATAATTTAATCCGCTTTGTGACAACAATTTTTCGTCATGTTTCCAACTTGCGAGCACAGTTTAAAAACATTCTGTTTCATAATTTAATTCCATAATTTAATATATAGCTTTTATAACATTTGAAAACTACTGTGAACCTAAAAATTCTAAAAATTTCATGTTAAATTTTTATTTTATTTTGGAGTTGAGTTTATAAAAATGTATTTTATTAAAAAAAATTTTAATGTTTACGCCCACAAAATTTTTCAATATTAAAATATTCATCAGATTGTTGGTTCAGTTAGAAAATAGTGCCCATATAAAGAATTCCATCCAATTTCAAGTATGTACCATTAGTCATTTTTAAAATATCATGCGCGCAAGGTGGAAACACGGCGAAATATTTTGTCACAAAGAGGATTAAATTACAAAAATATTTGTGGCAAAACAAACTTTCTGGTTACTAGTTTCTAAAGCAGCTATATCATGTAGTCAGCTGTAAAAAGTTGGAAGTAATTGCTTTTAAAATAAATAAAATATCCCAATTCTTGCAACAGTCACCTATTCGAAGATCATGAGGGGTTTAAGGTGTACGAGTCCCCTTAAAAGTATTCTGCCAAATTTTAAGAGGAAAGAAGACGTAGTGACAAGAATTATCTGTACATTTATGCATTAGATTTTCAGAATCAGCCATCCACTTTATACCGTCCCATTGGGTTTTAAGTATAAAATTTCATTATCTAATTCAAAAAATCTAAAAATTGGTAAGGCTAATGCCAGCTTTTTTTAAGGTATTTTTAATTACTTTAATTAAGGAATGAGGTTATTTTTCAAAATTGTCACGAAATATAGTACTTCTTCTTGAAGGTGTTTTGCTGTATTGCAGATTCTTTTAATTCTAAGCAACTGTGAGTAAATTGTGTTGAGGATGACTCTTTTAGAAATATTTGAATCCCAGTTGGTTAGTTTAAGTGTTGAAAAGTTGAATTCTCTTCTTTTGTCATAGACTTTTAATAAATTGTAATCTATAATATGGAAATCAAGGTAGACTATATTATGTTGCACGGTATTTGTAGTATTAAGTTTTAGGCATGATGGGTAGATATTAGCATTTTCTATCTTGTTGAAGTTGTTGAAGGCTATTACATCATCAATATATCGAAAGATGTGTTGGTAAAATTTATGATCTTCCTTACTGAGTGAACGTATAAAAGTTAATTCTTTTGTAAAAAGGAATAAATCACAGATAGAACTTGAAAAAATACCTCCCATTGGAATTCCCTGTATTTGTTTAAAGATGTTGTTATTAAATTGAATAAAATTATCGAAAAGTACGCATGAAAGAAAAAGTTGCCATTTTTCAGTATTTATTATTGTAGAAATTTGTGGAAATAATTCAGGTGGTGGTGTATTGAGAATACGGCAAAGCACACTAGGGCTGTCTGCCTAAGGGGAGGGATGCCTTCGTGGAGGACTTTCTAAGAGAAACTAGCTCGTGTACACGTTACACATGGGGAAAACCACGAAAACGCCCATGCAGCCAGCCCGTTCGCGGGATTCGAACCTCGGACCGAACTACCAGTGTTTAACGATTTTACCGCTCGGTCGCTGGTGGGCCCGGAAATAATTCAGGAAGAGCAAGTAAACTTTTATGAATTTCTTCAAGTGGGTAGTATAGAGGTTTTTAAAGTCGTAGCATTGGATATGTTCTATTTTAAGTGTGTTTATAGTATCTAGAACCTGTTCGTTACTTGAAATCATCCAGTTGCAATGTAGATCTTTAAAATCATAGTTATTAATGAGGTCACGTATTAGACGTAGTTTTTTGCGCAAAGAGACAATCTATTTCTTTAAGATAACTTTTGGTACTATTGGCAATGAACCTAAATTTGATGGGAGTCTTTTGAAATTTTGGTAGTGCATAGAGATTTGCAAATCTGTTATTATATTTCCGAGGAAGGATTTTAAGTTTTTTATGTAGTGCATTAAATTTATTCAGAAGAATCTTAGTGCTGGTAGTAATCTTTTGGTAGGTGCAAGTGTTATTCAATTCATTATGCAGAATATCGAAATAAAACTTTTTTCAAATAACACTAAAATTGTTGCTAGCTTTGTCAATCTTTGTTAAGATAAAATTATTATATATATATATTTATATACTTTTTGGCGAGCTAACTACAATTTCTCTTCTCATTTCCTTAATTTGGAAGCATATTGTGCAAAAACGTTTTTTGACCAAATTGGTATTTTTGTATTGTACTTACAACCTAGCTTATTAATTTTAATTTATATATATAATTTATATATATATATATATAATTTATATATATATATATAATTTATATATGTATACAATTTATATATATATATATATATAAAACATAAACACAAAAACTTTTTATAAATAAAAAATATAGAATCATTCGCGCATTATGCCGTAGAAAATTGATCAGTAAATATATGAAGAAAGAAATTTAGAACCAATTTTTAACAAATACCATAAAATGAAATTCAAACAAATAAATTTTAAAAAATCCTATAAATGTAGAATTAGAATTCTGTAAATATTAAACGAAAATTAAAATAAACCATCACAAGAAAAATCAAAAACAAAGTAACAACGAACATAAAAGAAGAGGAATCCAGTCAACTCCGATATAACGTCGTCCGAAGGAGGATACATTGAAAATAATAGCATTTCCTCTTCCATAAGAAAATTCTTGCTTTTCTGTATCCAAAATTACCTGGTGAACCAGTCTAATATATTTTTTAACTTTAACAGTTCAACCGAAATCTCCAAAGAAAGAAAAATACAAAGTAAAATCATTGATGAAATGTTTTTCTAATTTAAAAGGAACTTTTCTCAAATTGAAAACTAATCCATAAGTGAATACATTCCTTGAAATTGAGAATAATTAACAATGTAGCAAAACGTTTTTTTACAAAGCTTTGCGAGAACCTCCTTTTAATCAGTTTGAAACCAGGAAAATAATCGTTAGAATCCTAGACGCTTAGGTTTGCTAGTTTGGCCTCTTTGGCGAAAAAGTAGTCGAGAAAGTCATCTCCCAAATGCTGAATTTAAAGCTACAAAGCAAAGAATTTTTAATTTAAAGAAAAACTTTTAATTCAAAAAAAGTACTGACACTTTCAAATGTAATAGAGAACAAAGAATTATTCCCGACTGTAAAAAATATCAAACATTTCCAAATTAAACCCTAATTTAAATTTAGAAAGTTGCAATTAAAATGTTGAAAAAATTGCAATTAAAAAGAAGTAGAATAAAGAAAAACAAAAAACAAAAAAAAAAAAAAAAAAAAAAAAAACGA